CAACTGGAGCAGTTTGCGGTGAAACTTGCTCAGTCCTGCTCGTAGCCATGCTAGGTTCCGGCACAATACCGGTCTGGCTGCTTTGACTACGGTTTTCTAGCTTTGCCAGTCGAATCGCAAGTTCTTCATTTGCCGTCACAAGGCTTTGGACAATTGGGGCAATCTGGGTACTCACCACTGTCTGCATCAAATTTCCCACTTGGGACATAAGCTCCGCTTGAAACCTCACTTGGGCCTCGCTGGAGCTGCTGGATGGAAGTTGCGTTCGCCCTGGGCCAGGCAGCCCACCCGAGCCAGGGGGCAAAGAGTCAGCAGCATTGTCCGGCACCAACTCGACATCATCCCCAGCATAATGTCCACGCTCCATGCGGGACAGGTTGCTTTGCCCACTTCGACTAGCAGGCGACGCCTCCAGTCGCCTCGCAGCAACTTCTCCTCCACTTTCAGGATCGGGCATTGCGTTCAAAGCAGCGGTCATACCTTGCAGATTAAATACTTGCTCGGCTCCACTGTGTGCCTCCTCCACCGATTGGTGGTCTGAGGACCCCTCAGCCGAGTCAAGAAAGGCCTGAGGCTCAAAATAAGGCGGTTCTAGATCTCTGTCATCGCCCTCCCTTGTGAGGGTGGCAACTCCGAGATCACCCTCTTGTCGTCGTGCCTCATAATCTGCCCTCACCGAGTCTCCCCACGAAGGATTGGCAGGGTGAACTGGGTCTGCTTGGACCTCTGCTGGGTCTAACGCGTTTGGATTCATATCCATGGCGTGAAGGATGTTCACGCTAGCCTACAGCCCAAGCCGCGTTGGGCTCATAACCCGCAGAAGCGGGAAGCAAGAGTCACTCGAGTCTTTCTCTTACACAGGCACAGCAGGAGAACAAGCTATACACACGCTGTCACTGGTCTGTCTGAAGTCTTTCTGAGTCTTGTGTAACTGTACAATATCTCCTCCTGCATCAGCCTTCGGGCCAACACAGCATCAGCATCATGAGCAACAACGCCCCACAAAGTAAAACAGCGAAACCCCAAAAAACACATCAAGCCAAGGCCCATTTCGGGCTCTGAGGCGTTGACCTTGCCAGCGCGACCCTAAACCCTAAACCGGGAAGGGCATGGTGCGTGGCGGAGTTGGTGCGCGCCTACTACTGCCACATCCCCCAGCGCGTCCTGCTGTTCAGCGACACATGTCTGGCAGCTCGGTGAGTTGATTCAAAGCCTAAACAGGGGCTAAACGAACCCTAGGAGGGTGTGAGTGAGTGTGAGTGTGTGTGTGTGTGTGTGTGTGTGTGTGTGTGTGTGCGTGTGCGTGTGCGTGTGCGTG